CAGCTTCACTTCATATCCTTAATAAAATATTTTTGAATAAACTAATCAACGTGGCATACAGCAACGATCAGTAGTTTTTTTGCACCTAGAGAGGCTTGATGATGGTGATTCTTATTTTTATATAACCCAAACCATAAGTTGTGTACGAATTTTTATGTAGTAAGGGTAGTAGCAACTTTAAAATGTCAAGTAATGTTAAGCCTATACTCTTTGCATAAGCACTACATTCACCCAATTTCGTTTAAAGTGATGCAGGACTGGTGGTCGAATTTTTCCCCGATGGTATGAATAGGTCTCCCGCGATAAGGCATTCTCACCCTCGGTGGACTGCAGAGAAGCAAGGCTATGTGAACTCCAGGGAAAAAGTGGAGCCACTTCTGAGACTGTGAGAAAATTCAACTACCAGTCCTTCATCATCTTAACCTAAATAGGCTGAGTACAACTCCTATAAAAGAGCTACATGTAATCTCAAGACCTAGAAAAAAGCGTAAATGTATTAACCAACGAAGCTGAGAAGTTAAATCACTTTTCGATTCACAGACCGGTAAAATCGTGCCTTTAAAGACAATTGTCATGTCTCGATGAAAGTCTAGACAATTCAAAATACGAGCAAGTCGTGATAAACTAGCAAGGGTACCCTTAGGCTCTCCAGAAAGACAAAGTGTGGTCAGTCCTAGTGACTCGTGCTGAACAGCGACACGCAGACAAGTCATCCATCTAGCCAAAGAGACGGGAGATCCAGCCGCGTCTGGTTGCATGGATGTTGTTACAGAAGACGGTGAGCTGGACGAAGTTGACGCAGATGCAACTGCCGTGTTGCCTGCAGCAGACGCTGAAATGGCGGGAGTGATACGCCGCTGGCCTGATCCTGATCCTGATCCTTGAGAAGGCGCAGGGAGACCAGAATCGGCCAGACCATTGGGCAAATGGGCAGTGAGTTGGACAAGATTGGCCGCAGCTGCGGCGATTCCTGCTGGTCGAGCGGCGCGCAATAGAAGCTGATTTGCATGAAGATCAGGCAGTCGGGAGGCGAGCAAAGGTCCAGGCAACTCATGCAGGCTGGCCGGACCAGTGCGCTCTTGCATACCGCGGAGTTGATCCAACAGCAGTTGCCGATAGCCGGACAACTCCTCCAAATCTGGCAGGAATCACATAGAAAGCATAGCTCATGTAGAGATAAAAAGAAGACGAATGTAACAGTAATGGGACAAGACAAACTAACTTCTGATTTAGAAGTGATTTTATCTCGTATTGGCATCTAAGTCGTGTTGTCAGGATGAACTAGATGAATGCAAATTGCCTAAAGTCCTCTGCCATACAAGTCAGCGTCGACTTTATACATTATCAGACATTTCGCTAGAATCAGTCGGCATCTTTAATGCGCCTTGCTAGTCTTAGCATCAAATTAAATCGTCAAATAGACAAGTAAAGTCCATACCTTGATCAACTTTCTGTCGAATAAATGTAAGGTCCGTGTAGGATCAACAATTTCAGCAAATCAAGAAAGGAGGAAGGCAAAGTTTACCAGCATACGAAGTAACGCCTCATTAAGCACTCTCATAAAGTCCCATTTTGCACATTTTACGAATTTTCAGTTCACCAATGATGTGACTCAATGCAAATAGTAAAAATACAAGTAAATGCAAGAATCGAAAGACGCTTACTCATAGCATTGTAAGAGAGTTCAACTATTAGTTCTTGGCCAATTTATCTTA